TCGTGAGAATTAATCCAAAAAATCATCATTTGGCTTTAACTGATTTACCAAAAATACTCTTAACATTAGAAAAATACATAAATGAAAGCATTGAAGACGTAATGAAACTTTAGAACAGCAAAAATCTACACTAATTTACATTAGAATAAGCTTTCAGGGTTTTTAAGAGCGCCACGAAAGAAACAGAGGATGGGAACTTATTTATAAGGGTAGGAACGTCGTGTCAATAGGGTTTAACCTCAACGGATGTTTCCTATTGGGCTTTAACTGGTGGTTCGTTATGGATCATGGTATAGTACATTAAGCCCAAAAGACAAAGCCCACCTGCACCTACACTAATACAAGGGAGTATAATTTGGGGTTTTGGGGCGGGGGAGGGGAGGAGGAGGGGTGAGAGGAGGACATAAAAAGTATAACAGCTTTATAAAAGAATCCCTAGCTCGTTCATATGCAATCTCTGCTGCTTTTCAGTGTCCGAAATCTCAAAATCAGAATCAGAAGAACCTGGAGCATCAGACCGCACTGGGAGTCCTTTCTTTGCAGCCAACTCAAGCTCGCATGCCTTACCAATTTAGGCATCAATATAAAAAATGCAAGCTTTGGCTCCTTCCAATGTCTTTCTCCTCATAATGTACATGGTGTAAGTTTTTTCAACAACGAGAGGAGCCTCTCGGCGCTTGAGTTCTTCTTTGAGTTGAGCGATCTCTGCAGAAAGATTGTCCCGAGCGGACCTAGCAGATCGGAGACTGACATCAAAATCATGGACAATTAAACTATACAGCCTGTTGTGGTCGATAGTTTTCTTATACTTCTCCTTCAACCAGGCATGTCTCGTCCCCGCGGCAGCAAGTTATTCGACCTTAGAATTCAAAGTTGCTTCTAAATTAGTTACCCCTTTAGCAGCAGCAGCAGCAGCCTCACGATCATTGGCAGTAAGAATGACATTTTGGACTTCAGCCCATTTAGCCTTGACTTCATCAAAACCGTCCCTCAGCAGCCCAACTTCCTGGCTAAGGATCACCGCTTCTTGCTCACTTTGCTGCAAACGGGCTTCCAAAACATCGGCCTCAGTGGCCCTGGTTTCCAGTTCCGAGAGGCGAAGAACAATCCGGTCACTTTCTGCCAAAAGGTGATCCCGTTCAGAAGAGAGTTCCTCCTTCTCGCGGATTAACCTTTATAGGCCCTCGGAAGCAAGAAAATTGGCCTGCAAGATAAGAAGAGGTAAAAATTTAAAATGCACTAAGTCAGAAGCTGGAAAATACCAGAGAAAGACAGAAATATACCGTTGCGACATTATGCATGGCAGTGTTCAACAAATACTCCCTCGAGAGTATCTGAATCTTTTTCCCAATCCTTCTATGAAGCCAAGGGCTTCAGGTAATTCGCAAGCTCCACCGGCCGGGAAAGAAGGTTGCACCCAGTAGAGATCGAGAAGGTAACATTTCTCCTCATTTGAGGATCTTTAGAAGGGGTAGCATAATTTTACTCCAAATTCCCATGAACAGGAGACTGGGGAAGAAGAACGCCTTCAGCACAGCCAGGTACAACCGTTGGAGATGATGTTGTTGGGGGAAATGAGGATGAAGATGGAAAAGATGTAGCAGCTGCTGGTGGCGAAGAAGGTGGTGACAAAGCTGGTAAAGGAGAAGAACGAAAAATGGCTACATCGAAGGCAGCACTGGTTGTTGGGTGCTCACCAACCAAGGACGGCAAGGACCCGGTACTCTGCCTCGCAGTACCGAGCACAACGATTAGGGCCCGAGAACGGGAGTTGGCATTTTCCACCAAATCAAACTCTCCCCAAAGTGCCGAGACATCATCCTCGATGGATATGACTGCATCAACAGGTTGAGCATCATGTTGAGAGGATAAGGATCATTGTCTTCTATGAAGAGAAGCTCCCTCATCACTAGCTTCTTCATCATCAATCACGACACTATCTATGATCGGCCGGAAGGAGGACCGACCAACGTCGCCACCTGGGATAATTCTGGGGCATCAACCTTTGCCCTCTTATTCTTCTCCCCGGCCGCAGAAGAACGCCTTATTTTTGGTTGCTTGTTCTCTAGCCGGGGACTATGTGAGGAAATATTTGTGCCCGGAGTAGACCCGGCGGCACCCGTTCGAGCAAGCGCTTCCTGGAGCAGCCTCGCCGCATCAGCAGGGTCGGCCAAAACATCCTCTTTAGGGATCTCGACTGAGCCCGAGGGAAGACCTAATTTGACAAACAAGACAGGAGATTCAGTCATATTCCATATATACAAAAACTAAAGCAAAGCAAATTATAGTTACCATGAGTTTTGGCCTTCCACTTGTATTTGATAGACAGTTCTTTCCACAAGCGGATTTCGGGCGTGGTAATGTCGAAGATCTTTTTGACCCACCGGTCCAAGCCTTCTACCACCGGTGGAACCCATCGGGTCGCTATAACATACAGAAGTTGAAAGATCAATACATGCGTAAAAAACACATTTAGGGAGGGAGAATGTATTCAAAGAAACTTACGGGAACGGTTCCAAGCAACCGGAAAGGATGAGGCAGCTGTTGGAATAATGTCACCGGAAGCAACTGCAACAAACCGTTCCACCCACCCTCGGTCATTGTCATCATCCATTCTAAAAATTAAAGTATGGTGACCACGCTTGCAAAGATTTATCATCTCCCCCGGAAGATCTTGGGGGAGTACAGATTCATCATGTGAGCCAGGGTCGGCTCTTCTCTGGTTTTAAAAGCACAAGCGCCGAAGGCATGCAACCGTCCTCCATACAGAGGGGCTTACCTGTGCCAGACATACCTAGTAGCGAAGACAAAATTTCGCTATCACGGAATCAAGCTCCCCACTCAAAGAGAACGTGCCCAAGATAAAAGGGTACGTGTAAAAATATGTGAAACCCTCTCTGGGAAGGGTCACTCGCTCCGATAGGTCGGGAGCAATGATGTCCAAATTCGGGCAGCAGCAGTCTTCCTTCACAGTGGGGATACTGGAAGGACGAATGGAAGATGGATACCTGCTAACCGCCCTATGTACGGGGGTTATCAGTGGGAAATTTCTCCACCAAATCCTTCAAAGTATTAGGCCTTTTTGGAGATTATGAAACTCACTATTGGAGGAGCAGAATCTTCGTTTTTGTTCTTATTCTTTGAAGAACCAGAACGTTTAGATGAAGAAGCCATTAGAAGAGGGGAAGAAAAAGTTATGTGTTTGGAAGAAATTAGAGAAGAGATGTAAAACAGGGATGCAGGTTGGAAGTTCAAGCAACTGGTGAAACCTAAAGGAAAAAGGGAGTCGATACGTATAAGTAAAAATTTTGGGCGGCTAAAATACTTGGCTCCAATTACCTCGATAACCGGCAAAAGGCGTGCTAAATCATGTGAGGACGCGTGTTCAAGGCATTAAATGCGGAGAGACTGGTGTCTAATAAATCGTTAGTAACCTTCAAAATGAATTATAGTAATTCCCGCCAAAAGAAGATTCTCACCAACTTCCCGGTAACACAAAGTTATGTCACCAAAAAGTAGGGGGACTATCTGTATTGAGTAAATTATGTTATGGTACGTGGCCATTAAAGAAGGGGACACGTGGAATCGAAGCCAAGAGGACGAAAAATCGGGCACATATACCTTGTGTGTCACCGAGAAAGGCAAGTCCATAAAGGCATTAAGCATGCTGCGCCCGGTAATATTTAATGAAGAATATTCCATAGCATTAAAGGGTAACGACTCATTACAGAAAATTGGGCATTTATGTTTATCGTTAGGCTTCCATTATCACATTTTAATAATTGTCATTAGTGGTGGGCCCGACCATTATGCCCACTGAGTTATAAATTAAAAAGCTCAACTGTCATTGTAAGACACGATTTTCTGGATATCAAAAGACACATTCTAAAATAACATCCTGATACTATTTTTCTCTTTCTAGCTTGTTGTTCTTATTATCATCGTGCCCGGAAACTATGTCCCAGGGCTCTCCATATTTATCATTTTATATACATTTGAGCTAAGTATCTTACATCAAAATTGACTGATCCATTATCTTATGGGATCAAATTGATTCATCTGTGTAGAAATCACGAACAAATTCAACTGTAATATATTCCGGGTAAACAACAATTACATTGTAGCCATTTGAAATTATGAGAGAGTTATTCAATAAATTATTATATATGCTCATAAATAAGGATCTTCCTCCCATGAGTTTTAGTTGTTACTATACAATTTTTATACATAATAATAAGGGTATGAGAGTTAAATATTCACAGTTTATTTAATTAAGATATGCGAATATTTTCGTATTGTCTATTCAGTTTTCCAATTGATTTTTAATAATAATGAGTTTTTTCATGATGAATGACAACTGTGAATGCTAATATTATACCGGTACTAAGTTTCACAGGGTCCTCAATCCAAAAAGATAATTAGATTTCCTTTTGATCAATTTCTATAGCGTCAACTTATTGTAATTTTTTAAAAAAAAATTGGACCATTTTGTTAGTAAATATTTTATTTTTCTATCTCTACTTAATTTATAATAGATTATTTAATTTTATCATTGTACCGCGATAAATTCACTATTTTATATATACTAAGGGCCCGTTTGGCCATTAAAAAAATTCCTTTTTTGAGTTTTGTTTTCACTTTTTTTTTTTGAAATCAGTGTATGACCATGAAATTTTTGATTTTCACTTGAAAATGAATTTCAAAATTTTTTAAAAATTTGAAAAACTCTAAAAAGCTATTTTTTAAAAATTTTCACTTCAGATCACTCACAAAAATTTATAAACAATCCGAATTATATTCATGTCCAAACACAACTCTAATTTTCAAATAATATTTTAAAATTTCTTTTTCCACGTTTTCCCAAAATTTTACAATTCTTATGTCCAAACGCCCGCCAACTAAGTACTGTATTACTTTTTCAAAGCTTAAAGTTGATTGCGGTCCAACAGTTTGAGGAACATTCTACATCACTACTGCGATAGCTAAGATATTTCCATGCCGTCTAAAGAGAACTCCTGAAACTTCTGGAACATTCAATTCAGTTTCCCTGCAAACACATAAATAGCAGAAAACCTCCCCGCTTCTCTCATCGTAAAACACTACTAATCTCTTTAGCTATCAGAAGAATATCAACAAAGTTAACAATGGAAAGCCCATTCTACGGAAGCTATTGGTCCCAGCCGACTCGCCCTCGCTATTCCTCAAACATGAGAGGAATACCCGTGCGGCCAATACATCAAAATACTATCGGTATTAAGCCAGTTGTTCAGATTCCGGTCCACTTCGTCGGTTCGGATCCTGAGCGGCCCGTTTCATCCTTGAAGACTCAGGAACCTAAGCCGGACCAGTCCGTATTCGCCTTAAGGATTCAGAAGGTATTCAGAGGGTTTTTAGTGAGAAAAAGCTTGAAGAAAATTATATCAATAGGAAAAGAGGTGGACGAAATTGAGCGCAAGATTTTGTGCGGCGAAATGGCGGAGTTGATTCGGAGAGACGAAAGGGAGAGGTTGCGGGTAAATGAGACGCTGATGTCTCTGCTTTTGAAATTGGATTCCGTTCGTGGAGTTGATTCCGGTGTTAGGGACTGCAGAAAGGCTGTGATTAAAAAGGCAATCTCTTTGCAAGAGAAAATTGACTTTATTGTTTCCGCAGGTAATCAAATTGCAGTCGAAGAGGAGAATAAATACAACGATTCCGATGAAGTCCCTAGATTGGTCAATCAGACCGAAGACATCCCCCATTCTACAGGAGATCAGGACGAAAATGAAAAATCGACATGTCAGAGTGAAGTTTCTGATCTATTGGAGCAGAGTGTGGAAGCAGAAAATCAAGCAGCATTGAATTGTAGGAAGAAAGATGAGAAAACACAAGTAGAGGGCGAATGCGATGCAGAGAAGTCTGATGAGTTGCCGGAGGTAAGTGTGGAAAGAGGCGAAGTAGGAGATGTGATTGAAGGAATTGATGAGGAGGAGAATGAAGCAAGGTTACATGGGGAAAATGAGAGTAGAAAAAACAGAGAGTTGATGGAGAAAATGGTGGAAGAGAATGAGAAGATGATGAGAATGATGAATGAGCTGTGCCAGAGAAACGAAATGCAAACGCTGATGCTGAATTCACTGGCGCAGAGGGTGACGCAATTAGAGAAAGCTTTCCTATGTGATAAGTTGAAGGCAAAGACAAAGAAAAAGAGGCATACTGCTTAAAAACTGCTCTGGCAGAAGCCGAGCCAATCTTGTTTGAGAGTGTTTCCAGTGACTTAGTATTTCTAATGAGCAATTCGTTGATTTTGTCTTTTTTTGTCTTGTTCTAATCTTCTGCTCTTTCCTATCTACCTATGTCTGTAGTGCGACGTGTCTCTTGCTGAAATTAGAGAAATTGATAGATTGACAAATTCTTTGGTTGGGTTCTTCTTCACTACAACTGTGAACTGGTTAGTTTGCACACTGCGCATTGGCCTTTCTGTTTGTTTTATTTTATTTTTTCGGTTATTTATTCAAGAAAGGTCTATATTTGTAGTCTAAATTGCTGTTATTTGCTTTCTCCGGTAATAGTTTGGTTGACTTTACTTGCTCTGTGATTAAGAGGGGAAACTCCCAAAGTTACATTTCCCGCATAGTTTAGTTTTGTTTCTTCAAGTTTGTCGAATAAAATGAACGATTCTTATACCATATTCGCTTCCAATCTGCGAGCTCGATGGAAAGGTGTTTTCTTCAATTTTGTCACTTCTTATATGCTACAATTTATGCATGTTGCTGTGTATTCCTGTTTTTATTTGGGTTTTCTTATTTCCATGCCTTTCAACTACGATTTACCTTATTATTTTGCAGAAAGTGAGGATCAGGTGTCTACTTGTTTGATTTGAAAAAAGGCGTTTATAGGCAAACATGCTGCATTTACGTGTTGGTTCGGTTATGTCGTTGACCACTCAATTGTGTTTAATCTTTATACTCCCGTAAAACTCCATCTTGCCATGAGTTTCTCCTCTGCGCAATAAATGAATAAGTTTTTCTATAGCCAGTGGACAATTCCCATCCAACCAGTTATTGATTAGAAGATTTTGATTCTCTTGGAATTCTTCAGAATAGACACTTTGCAAGATGATGAATTGAAGTCTGGCTATACTTGATGTAATTACTGGCTCAATTTTGCCAAGGCAAACTGTGTATGTAGCATAGAATATGTTTGAGAATCTGATAAGTTACTAAAAGTTACAATCCATCTTTTAACCATGTATCTGCTACATGGACCAATAGTGCTTCTGTAGCTTGTAATTTGTATCTTTGTTTTGGTTATGTTTTTGTCCCATCGGGTGATTTGAGTTCTTGAACTTAAATTAGTATTGAGCTTCATCGAAGTGTTTTCTATTCACTGAATTAATTATTGCAGGTCATTAAAATAACTGATTTGCTTTATCGAGAGCAAAGAGTTCAAACTCCGTGAAAGTGCCAATTCGTCCGTCCACACTAGCCAACCAGCCAACCACGATGACCATTCGACATATAATATTGTTCATGATGAAATTATCCAAAGACGTCCATGTAAGTCTTTCACTATCTCCAAATTGGATGAATTTCTGCTCTATTTCGCCCTTTTACTCATGTTTATATGGTTACAACTATTCACATTTGTTTCTTTTTTGTCAAATAGTCAACGAGGTTGAGAATGGATTTTACTTACCTCAAGTTCGGAAAGAAGTTCAGTAGTAAGGGTTTTCCATCATATTACTAGATCTTAATGCTTATATGATCTTATTCGATATCATAGATTTGACCATCTACTTATTCTTCCACTTCCTTTTACATTGCTATCTCAATGTATTTAATAATCAGTTGCTCAATTCTTTAACTTTGTGTAAAAGTTATTTGTCTTGATTACTTGCGAACAACATGATTGCAGAGAAATAGAACACCCAGCCAACCATACAACTGGTGCCAGTAAGAACTTCTTAAATGACTGAATGAGTATTTTTGAAATACAGTTATTACTTCATCCTTTTTTGTTGATTTTTTTTAACCAGACAGTTTTACCATATTGGATAATAGAAAACTAAATACCATCCAACATGTGATGGCTGAATATTTGATATTACTTTATGATATCTGAGTCATGACACCAAAGTGCTCCTTCTACAGACATCAATATCTTTTTCTCTTTCTCTTTCTCTGTCTTCCTTGAGCGGTCCTTTGCTATGTTCCATAGAGGTCAAGTTTTTCAAAAGGTCATAGGTTTTAGGTTGCCAGATGAAATATTGAAACTCGTTTGAGGAGCTGATGATGTATTTGCCCTAAAAAACAGGGAATTACAAGTATATCCTAGATTGCATATGCTGGTAATACAGTTGGAAGTATTTTCCTGCCAACTTTTGAAATTATGAGTTCAAAATTTAATATATGCTCATAGTTTACTAATTTACCACATATATTCATGCTCTATGTTGAAATTACTAGGTTGAGGGCGCTTATGGCTCGACGATGCAGTCTTATGGAAAATTGAAAGGACTGCTGGAAGATTAGCTTCAAAGCTTGAACTTTCACTTTCAATATAGTCAAAAGAAATGCAAATGGCGTCACTCCAGAATCCACATTGATTGTTTTGAAGTGAAGGGGCTTTGCCTACTAACTAGGAGCTTCAGTCACATGAAGAAGTGTAAGTTCTTTGATATTAGTTGACTTGAAAAAGGTATTGCAGATCTGATGCTCCTGTTGATATTTTTTCCCTGCTCTGTGGAACTTGAGTTTCATGCGTCTTTGTTTCTGAGTTTGAACAGCTTAGGCAATAGACAATTGTTATCTCCTGGTTGAATTTCTACTATTGTTGTAGAAGGTTGTAAATTTTTTATAATTAAGTGATTTTTAGCTAGACGGTAGATTTACATTAGTCTCATTTTCAACATTGAAAATGGCAGAAACTAATTTAAAATTTTGGTGTAAGGTGATGCCCATGTTATGAAGAAATCTTTAACAGGAGTAAAAGAAGGGGTACATTGCACCTAGTTGTTGAACTAAGTGATATTGAGAATGAAGTTATAGTGAAATTTGTTGACGCCTTACAACTGATCTTGAGAATGAAGTTATAGTGAAATTTGTTGACGCCTTACAACTATGTTAAGACATGATGCAATATAGGTGTCTAATTACTCAATTTGCTCAGCAACCATGTCTTACAACAAGAAGATGATAGGATAAAAAGATGTGGATGAAAATATTCTACTACAGATTATAGGTAGACCAAGAAGAACCAGAAGTGTCAAAGTGCATTGGGTTACCTATAAACTCAACCATACAAAATGCTTCTTTATTATGTGAGGATAAGAAACAACACTGGAAGACTGGTAGCATAGGAAAGACAACAGAAGGACTCAATAGTAGAAGAACAAGAGAAATGGTAGAAGAAAATGGGAGATATAGTTCAATCCCAAGAAGAAACTATTCTAGCTGCTCATTTTCTGAGTTATTAAGACGAGTTTACACATAAAACTATGGTAGTCAAGGTATTTAGTGGTGTATTCTGATATTGAATTCACTTTGTAGAGTTTTTCATTATACTTGGAGCATTTTTTGCTTAATTTCTACCCCAATAAATTTTAAACTTTAAAAAAGGACTTTCATATTACCTATTGTGTAAGGTATTGATAATATTTTTTATTGTGCCTTACCTCTTCAGATTTTATTAACATTGAGATACAGTTTTTGCTGTGCATTTCGACATTAGTCACATCAAAGTACTAGATACAACTTATTTTAACATAACTTATCTTAATTACATGATACTTCGGTACTTTCATAAGTGCAATCTGTTGGGGTTGTTAGTAATTTGTTGAACATTTCTACGTGAGATTTTGTTGTATGTTCAAACTGGGACTTTGTCAGGATAAAAGGAATCAGTTGGGGGTGGGCATAATCATTTATGTGGAGACTCTTGTCACTTATTTACCTCTTGATATTCTTAAATTTATCGTCTCTTATTAGGGTTGCCTTCACGACTAACAAGGATTTGAGAGGTTGACAATAACTACAGGTGAAGCCGTGCATAGAATTTGCCAGGTGAAATATAATAAGAGAGAATTACTGGGAGGAAAAGAATATAAACCCCTTACCCCAACCAAAGTAAGAAAGAAATGTGTTATATTTTGATAGAACTTTTACTGAAAATTTTATTGTAACAAGAGCCATATTACAAGACTGAGCGCTTTGCGCCCTTACCACCAGCAACACTACATTGTCGAAGTATAAAGAAGCAATTTGGGTGATGATCAAGGTCTTTTTGCTGCTGAAATTCAGTCTCCACTTCACCTCGGCAAAGGATGATAACAATATTGAGTCAAATCTTGTGTTGTGTTGAAGGACGAGCACTGGAAGAAGAAAATATTATTGGAGTATCAGTAGTTGTATATACAGTTAAAATAATTGTGATTTTTTGGTTGATACATAGTTTCTGTTATATAATATTATATGTTTGCACTTTGGTTAAGATTTCTAAATAATTTGGGAGCAACACTTTTTCCATGTAAGCATATTAAAGTGAAAATTTTTGGGCCCATGGGCAACATCATCTAGTACTTAAAAACAGAGATATTGGAATGTAAAGCTTATTACCGTGGAGGTTCATTATGTTGGACTTTAGCCTTGTGATTCTTTGGTTTAGTTACTGGAATTAAAATGGTAATTTTCCCGCAGCACTAAAAATGTCATCATCGAATGTGTCTTATTCGGCTTCTCTTCTTATGACTTATGAGGTTAGCTACATCTATATATAT